GAGAGGAGATGGAGAGAGCGAGAGAGAGAAGAGAGAGAGCGAACGCGGGATGGCAGGCGGACGAGGAGGGAGAGAGAGACGAGAGAGGAAGAGAGAGACGGAGAGAGAGCGAGAGCAGACATCCTGGAGAGCGAGAGCGAGCGAGAGCGAGAAGAGAGAGAGAGAGAGAGAGATGAGGAGAGCCGGAGAGAGAGAGAGAGAGAGAGAGGAGACGAGAGAGAGAGAGCGAGAGAGAGAGGAGAGAGAGAGAGTGAGAGAGAGAGAGAGAGAGCGAAGAGCGAGAGCGAGAGGTTAGGTTTCATCTGCTGGAACTTTTTGATTATACAAATTGATTTTTAGTTGGTGTTTTAGCCTAGCTTTTTTTAACACCAAAGACTGGAGCAGGGGGGATGCTAGCCTTAGCTTACATTCTGAAGCAGAAATAACTCCAACAACTAGCGCCGGGGGGGGGGGAGGTTGGCCAAGGTTGAGCTCTGAACCTAATTAGCGATAGAAGCAGACTTACAATGACAAAGTATAACCTTTCCAAGTACAAGAATGTGTCGATTGATGCCAACCCCTGTCCATTTAACGAATATCACATGAACCACGCCCCCACATTATAAAACAGACATGTCCGTTCCTCGTCTTGTAAACCTCGCCACTTTTCCAACGTGGAACTCATTGTCTTTATCAAATCCCCACGGGACTACCGCTCTCTCTACATTTGGGACCACTCCCCTCCCACCACCACCCGGTGCGCATTACACACACCCACTCACTACTGAGTCTCAGGGGAACAGGCGACGCACATTGGCAGAGTCCGAGTGTTTTAACTCCAAGTTTCCAGGTGATTTATAGTTCTTGTTGTAGTAGGTACTAGGAGAGACCAAGAACACTGACTCTATTAAACGACGCGACGGGCCGCGCGCACTGACTGACGGACCAAACACCTTAGCTTTTCATCGCCTCCCTGTTATCCTGAAAGGCACCCAGGTGTGTATTGCTCATCCACGGCGTTTGGTAGACAACGGGATTAACTGATCCAAGCACCTCCTCTTCTCGCTAAAAGCTGAACACCTCCAAAATCACAGCTAATCATGAACTCAGACAACCCTCCTGGCATCCCACGTCTGCTGCCGGCCGATTAACATATTGAAATATACATAACCTTCCAGCGCTACTGCGTAGATTTGAGCGTTGTAAATTGGGCTCGCTGGAGGGACGAGCAGCGTGTGTTCTACTAGGTCTTTTCTTATTGTTCGCGATCAGAGACCCTCACTCAGGTTGGCGGCTAGAATATAGAAACCCCTGCACTCAGAGCTCCTCTTCTTTCAGAAAAGAGAAGACAGGCCCAGCTAGACTTTTAATTTGGTTAGGGTCTATTATAATACTCATACCATTGTTATCTTTACACCACAACTCCACGAGCTCACGACCACGCGCGCTGTATGTTGAGCATGCAAGCAATGTGAGCGCATCTTACTAAAAATAGATTTGATACAAACAGCTCTTTCTAATTCTCTGCTCTCAAGGAGTTCTGTTGGTGTCGCAGTGCGCAGATTATCCTACCAGAGACAACTAAAACATTTTCCAGGATATTTTGTCATTTTTAATCCAATTTCCATAACTTGGAAAAAACATCCTCTCTACTGGTTTTTGTATTAGTGTTCATCACGCAGCGTTACCTGAATAAAGTGACAGATTTCTCTGGTTGAATTTGTGTTAACTGCTGCCATCAGAACTTCCTGGAGGACGGTAGAAATGTAGTTAAAAGTGTTAAAGCGTGTTGAGTTTTTGCTTGAAAGATCAGTTGATTGATTAACCAATCGATTGTTAAAGCTCTGGCTCGCTGATGAAGAAGATTTGTGAGGACGTGACGTAACAGAGCTACAACTGTAGTCAGGGAGAGACGGTAACGGATATCAGAGCGATGGAGTGAGTGAATGGCTGCAGACCCTCACAGGCCACCGTCCAGCTCTCAGCAGCGCCCTGTGTTCGTGCAGGTCCGAGCAGACAGATGGTCTCAGCTGCTGCTCTCTGCCTCTAATCTGAACGCTCAGTGTAATCCTGCTAATGAGGACGGCTCGCAGAGACAGACACATTCAGCAGCTCCACAGATCCACAGCGCACACGGCCGCCGCCCTGGAAACGCTACACGACAGAGTACACGCAACCGTCACCGCTTCTGATGTGCAGCACGGCCGATACTGCGGTCGATATAAACTGCAGACGCAGCACGAAGACGCTGCAACCTCTAATGCTTCCTCACTGTGATCCTGCTAATGACTGAGGCTGGGACAGACAATCAATAGATCCTGATAGCATTATCAATAAAACAAGCACTTCAATGTATTGGGTTGGGATGAGGAGTTCTCTTACTGTCCTGAAGACTGCAGATCCACTGATGGAAGTGATCAGGCTATTCGTTGATTACTACTTCAATAACTGCTTCAGATGATAGTTTTTACTGTTTGTTCATCTTTGACTGTTCTCAGACACTTTATAGGTTAAACTATTGATCACTTTACTAGGTAAAAAAAAACATATCAGCTCTTGGCAAACAAAAGTGTTATAGGCTGCAAGCTTAATATATTTTTAACTTAGTTATTTATAATAATTTCACACCTTTTTGATATCTTCACCTTTAATATTGTTAAATATTCCTCCTCAGACTAATCTCTATCTCAACAAACTAAAAGGTACCTTAAAATAGTTTTATTTTTGTCAGAAAAACTAAGTTCTGCCTGATAAAACACGACAGTAATAAGGTAAAACCCCACTATGACTAGCATCACTCAGGCTCTAATTCAACCACGGAGCCTCCCCGCTGCGCTCTGAGCCCTTCATCGGCTCCACATGACGACGCTGTGCTCGGCCTCTGCGGTACATACTGATAATGTAAGAGGGATCTATATACCGAGAGAACATACAGTATTCCTCGCTGCGCGCCTGACAGATGCATGCTAAGAGAGTGGAAAAGCAGCGTGCTGAATGTGAACTTGACACCGAGCCGGGGATGCCAGAGCGGCGGCGAGCACGCCCGGCATGCTGCTCGACAGGACGAGTTGGGAAAATGTGCAGCAACGTGACCGCACACGAGCCGACAGAGGAGGAATAACTGTTCAGAAAGTCACCTGAGGATTACAGGTGCGACGCAAAAAAAATGCCCCTTTAAAGACGTGAACGTATGCAGGATTTTAACCAAGTGCAACATCAGGAATGCTCTTGAAGAGACTGTGAAACACTCAATACATCCAGACTGCAAACTAGCTCCTCTGAAGCTCGCTGAGGGCTTAAAGATAGCTTGAATCGGCGGTGAATGTAGTAAGCTCAACAGAAACGGAGATGCGTCTGGAGACAAAAACATCCACTAATGAATTCTCCTTTGACTCAATATTTGTGAAGCTTTCAAAATGTGAACTTGGCTGTTACTGTTCTTGGCTAAAAGTCTGAGTCTGACTGACGTTTGTGGGTTGTTTTTAGCGCTATTTGTTGTCAACACAAAAGTGCATGATGTGTTTGTTTCCACAATGAAACTGAGACAAAACTGAAAACGCAGCCTGAAGCTACACAAACTGTCACCGCGCGCCCTCCGGGAACACCGACACGTTCAAACCACCAATTAACCGTTATAAAGCCACTGATGTGAGTACGTGTGGTAAGGGATGAACAGGATGGCAGACTGTTGTTTTACCTGCTGAGAGAGACCTCCAGTTCAACATGAAGGTCTTCTTTTATTAAAAATACTCTGAATCAGAAATGCTACAATCAGTAGAAACTAAATAAATGCTGCATTAATGTGGACATTAATAAACTAGGTGCCTGTGTTTACGTTATGTAACCACATTTGTCTCTATGTACAAAGACAATCCCGAGCAAACACTCGAACCCGCGAGGCTACCCAAGAACCCTGTTTACATCACAAATCAGTCTATGCTACTGGAACGCCTTTGATAGTGTTTGCATCAGAACAGACCTATAGGATAGATCACAGCAGCCTTTTTCACCTGGGTTTACCCTACTATATCAAGTCAAAAAGGCTGCTGTGAAAAAGGTCCACAGCTACAAAAAAACTTGATAAACCTTTGCGTTACATTCGAGGGTAACAGCGGGGCTAGCAGCAGCCCTGTGGCTACCGGAGTCGCTGTAACAGGAGCCTGTGTTTACATTCACTTTCTAAAATATCCCGGACCAGTAGAGCCAACGTGGCTACTGAAAGGTGAGGAATCCAATACCATGACAAATAACGCGATACAGTGCGAACAACACAGCAAGTAACGTCACTAACGTTAGAAATGCTGTAGGGCAGCAAACTGTTGCAAACGATGCGGGGAAGCTAACACGCAGAGAGGACGAGAAGATGAACACAAACGCTCTCTGGTGGACACACACACACATATGTATATAT